TTCAACGCATATGGTATATATAAATGAAATAGGTTCATGATGGTAAAACATTTTTCATTTTCTAATTGATTCGTGATTCATGAACTAGTTTCATGGTGATCAATGTTGCATTGTAATCGAAGTTGATCAGTTTAGTTGGTACAATGAACATGAAACGGGTGCGTAATGGATTTTGTTCGTTATGAAATATACGTATCATGAAACGGGTGCATAGTATATTTTATTGTATATGAAATTAAGCTGCATGTAAAAATTTCAATGTAAAAAAGTTTCATTGCAAAATAGTTAATGAAATAGGTTCATGATGATAAAACATTTTCATTTTCTAAATGATTCGTGATTTATGAACTAGTTTCATGGTGATCAATGTTGCAGTGTAATCGAAGTTGATCAGTTTAGTTGGTAGAATGAACATGAAACGGGTGCATAATGGATTTTGTTCGTTATGAAATATACGTATCATGAAACGGGTGCATAGTTAATGAAATAGATTCATGTAAAATAGTTAATGAAATAGATTCATGTAAAATAGGTAATGAAATGGATTCATGTAAAATAGTTAATAAATTAGTTAATGAAATAGATTCATAGTTAATGAAATAATGCATAATGGATTTTGTTCGTTATTAAATTAATCTGCATGTAAAAATTTCAATGTGAGAAGGTTTCATTGCAAAATAGTTAATGAAATAGATTCATGATGATGAAACATTTTCATTTTCTAAATAATTCGTGATCAATGAACTACTTTCAAACTGATCCATGTTGCATTGTATATGAAGTTGATACGTTTAGTTGTTAGAATGATCATGAAACGGGTGCATAATGGATTTTGTTCTTTATGAAATATATGTATCATGAAATGGGTGCATAATGGATTTTGTTCTTTATGAAATATATGTATCATGAAATGGGTGCATAATGGATTTTGTTCTTTATGAAATATACGTATCATGAAACGGGTGCATAATGGATTTTGTTCTTCATGAAATATACGTATCATGAAACGGGTGCATAGTATATGTTATTGTACATGAAATTAATGTGCATGAAAATGTGTCAATGTGAAAAGGTTTAATTATAAAATGGGTAATAAACAAGGTTCATGTTGGTGAAACATTTTAATTTTCAATGTGAAAAGGTTTCATTGTAAAATGAGTTATTTGCTCCGTCTATGCATAGTATACGTGTTAATGAAATAGGTGTTTTGTGATTGAAGTTTCATGGTTATCCTTGTTGCTTTGTGATTGAAAGTACCTCTAGGTTCATGATGATCCATGTTGCTTTGTGATTGAAGTTGATCCGTTTAGTTGGTAGGATAAAAATGAAACGGCTGGGTAATATGTTGTGTTCTTTTATGAAATAAATATATGATGAAACGGGTGCATATTATATTTTGTTCTTTATGGAATTAATGTTAATGTGAAAAGATTTCATTATAAAATGGTTCATTGATGTTATATTAATGTTAACTTTTGTTTACCAATTTGCCCTTATCATTGATATAAAATAATTTTTTAATATTTTTTATTTTTTAATTTCCTAAAATAAAGTAAACTAATCTTAGCCATTGATTAAGAAAATGGACAGATGAGATTGGTTTACACAGTTTACACAAATGGGACAAGTTTTTATTTGAACGCTCCTCTATATATGTATATATATATATATATGTATATGTATATATATATATGTATATATATATATAAGAATTTTAACTCTTAAATAAATGCACCGAATATTACAACATTCCCTCCTTAAAAGAATTCCGTCCCGAAATTCCATTAAGCAAACAGGTAGGGTTATATCATTCGCATTTCTGACTTTGATTCCTAAGTGGTGTCTGGTCCTTTATGATAACGCCACTGAACCTTTACTAACCCAATTTCTTTATTTCGTAGTTTCTTTACTTTGAAATCAGTAATGAGTTCAGGGGTTTCTTCAAAGCACAATCTTTCATCAATCTTAATTTCAGGTAGAGGCATCGCTATATCTGGGCTTATTAGACACTTTCTCAAATTGGACATATGGAAGGTGTCATAGATTCCGCTCAGCTCCAAAGGAAATTCTAGCTTGTATGCCACTTCTCCAACCTTTCTAATAATAGGGAATGATCCAATATATCTTGGACTCAACTTTCCCTTTTTACCAAAACGTATCATTCCCTTCCAAGGTGATACCTTTAACATTACTTTATCACCTTCTTGGAATTTAATTGGTTTTCGATGTTTATCGCCATAACTTCTTTGTCTCTCTTGTGCCACTTTCATACGTTCCCTTATTAGGAAAATTTTATCCGCTGTTTGTTGAACTAGCTCCGGTCCAGCTAACTGTTTTTCGCCCGTTTCATTCCAACACAAAGGAGTTCGACACTTTCGTCCATACATAACCTCAAAAGGTGAAGCTTGAATACTTGAATGATAACTATTGTTGTAAGAAAATTCCACCAGGGCCAAATGACTATCCCATGATTCTCCAAAATCAATTATACATGCTCTAAGCATATGTTCTAAAGTTTGGATAGTTCGTTCACTTTGTCCATCAGTTTGAGGATGATAAGTTGTACTTAGCTTAATCTGTGAACTCATCTCTCTTTGGAAACTCTTCCAAAACATAGAAGTGAATCGGTTATCTCTATCAGAAACAATTGATAGAGGAACACCATGATTTGACACTATCTCATCAATGTATAGTTTAGCCAATCTCTCCATTGAATATGACTCTTTCATTGGTAAGAAATGTGCAGATTCGGATAACCGATCTACAATCACCCATATAGCATCATAACCTTTTGATGTCCTTGGTAGTTTGGTTATGAAATCCATAGTGATGTGATCCCATTTCCAAACTGGAATTTCTAGTGATTGTATCTTACCAAATGGACGTTGGTGTTCTATCTTCACTTGGAGACATGTCATACATTGTTCAACATGTTTAGTTATATATTTCTTCATACCTGGCCACCAATAATGTTGCTTCAGGTCCCGATACATTTTATTTGTACCTGAATGAATTGCAAAACGTGATTTGTGAGCCTTACTCAAGATACGTTTCCTGAGACCACCATAGTCTGGTACCCAAATTTTGTTCTGGAAATTCCAACACTCTCTACCATCTTTCACAAATTCAGACATTAATCCACCCAATCTTTCTTGTTTAATCTTATCCTCCTTCATTGCCTCATGTTGAAATTCTTGTAATTCTTCCTGAATACTTGGTAATAACTCAACTCGTAGAGCTACAGCCTTAATAGTTCCACTTTTCTCTTGTCGGCTTAAAGCATCGACCACTACATTTGCCTTTCCTAGATGATACAAAATTTCACAATCATAATCACTAACCAATTCCAACCATCGTTTCTAAAGCATATTCAGATCTTTCTGATGAAACAGATGTCGTAAGCTCATATGATCTGTGAAAATTTGACATTTCGTTCCATATAGTGCCTCCATATCTTTAAAGCGAACACTACAACAGCTAATTCCATATCATGAGTATGATACTATCTCTCATGATCTTTTAATAGTCTTGAAGCATAAGCAATTATCTTTCCACGTTGCATCAGTACACAACCCAAACCTATCTTTGACTCATCACTATAAACTACAAAATCTTCCATCCCATATTGCAAGGACAGAATTGGTGAACTACATAACTTATCGTTTAACATCTGAAAGGTCTGAGCTTATGCTTTATTCCACTCATATTTTACATTCTTCTATGTCAGTTTTGTAAATGGAGTGGCTATACGAGAGAAATCTTGTATAAACTTACGATAATGCGCAGCCAATCCAAGAAAACTTCTGATTTCAGTTGGAGTCTTTGGGGCTTCCCATCTTTCAATGGCTTCAATCTTAAGAGGATCCACTTTAATGCCTTTTTTTGAGATAACATGTCCCAAAAACTAAACCTCTCGCAGCAAAAATTCACATTTTGACATTTTAACATAAAATCTTTCTTATTTCAACAATTCTAAGAGTAATCTCAAATGATGAGCATGCTCTTCTTCCGACTGAGAATATATCAAGATATCGTCAATGAAGACGATCACAAATTTATCAAGATAGGGACGACATACCCGATTCATCATATCCATGAAGGTTGCAGGCGCATTAGTGAGTCCAAATGACATTACTAAGAATTCATAATGACCATAACGTGTATGAAATGCCCTTTTTTATCACAATATGAGGTTATTGGATTGTTTTCGCGTTCTCGTAAATCACCTGGGTTCTCGTTTGAACCCTTCCCTATATATATATATATATATATATATATATATATATATATATATATATATATATATATATATATATAATACTCGCGCAATGCAGCGAGATACATCTCAATTTTAATGTTATATTGTATTCTTTGTCGTCGATGTTATAATATGATTTTATTTGTTTTAAAAAAAACAATAATGATTTTATTTT